ACTCTCTCTGGAAAGAAATTCCTTCTAATATCCAACCTAACCCTCCCCTGGCACAGGCTCAGACCCAGCCCTCTTGTCTTGCTGATGATGCCTGGGACAAGAGAACAACCCCCCCCCTGGCTTCCCCTCCTGTCAGGGAGTTGCAGAGAGTGAGGAGGTCTCCCCTGAGCCTCCTCTTCTCCAGCAGCCCACGAGATGCAGCAGCTTCTTGTGCTTAAAAAAAAGAGATTTGTTGCTCCAATTCCAATATTTTGGATTGGAGGGGTTGCTCTCAGTGTCACCCTGCAAAGCTGGAGTGATGCCACGTGGAAGTAGCTCTGGATCCCCTCCTGGTCAGACAACAGAACAGAACCCCTGTCACTGCAACATCCCCTGCTTCATTCTCCAAGCTGTGCAGGATCCAGGATGCATGTTGGAAGCTTCTCCTTCCAAAGGCTGTGCACAGAAGGATTTCCCAGTGGATCCACTGATGTCCAGAGATTTTTGTGCAGATCTCAGACCCAGTCTGGTCATCTGGAGTTGCCAGTTGAGGCTCTTCCCATCTCCCAAGTTCTCACGAGCTGTTTTCCTGTCTGAAATTGCACCTGTCCGAGAGTTGCCATTGGTTCTGCACCCAGAAGCCTTTGGGATGGAGGGCAGGGGGAGGACACTGGTGCCTTGGTCACTGGAGCAGGAGGGGTCCTGACTTGCCCTCCGTGACCTGGCAGTAGATTTCACAGGATATTCTGAGTTGGGAGGGACCCATAAGGTTGAGTCCAGCCATTAAGTGAGTGGCCCACGCAGGGATCAAAGCCACAACCTTGGTGTTATTGGCCATGCTCTGACCAGCTGAGCTCATCTCAGGGTCTGTGCTGAGGGCAGGAGTGAGGTTCCAAGTCCACCTGACTCCTAATACCCCAAATTCTTATTTATTCTGCAGTCATGTGTGAAGATGAATTTCTCCTTTGAGAGTGAGTCTGCTGGGACTTGGATCTGCTTGTGCCAGACACTTCCCAAGCCAATACTAACCCTCCCAGCCTCTGGCACTAACATTCCTGTGAGCTTGTAGTTGTCACGAGCTGTGCAAAAGGTAACAGTGCAAAAAGCTTCAGTAGCAACTGCTGTGACCAGGACAGTCCTGGCCTGGTCAGTCCTATGGTTTGAACCGTCAGGGTGTGGTGCTGCCAGTCGTGGGGCCCATCATCCATGGTTTGAACCATCAGGATATGGTGCTGCCGGTCGTGGGGCCCATCATCCATGGTTTGAGCTGTCAGGGTGTGGTGCTGCCAGTCGTGGGGCCCATCATCCATGGTTGGAGCTGTCAGGGTGTGG